TGCAAAATGATAAGTTTGATGATGTATGTTACACTCATGGCATGACTTTCAAAATCCAAATTTGGCAGGTCCATTGACTTCCCTGATCCAAATTTTGCTAGTCCACTGACTTGACTTCCCATAAATGATGTTGTTAGGAAAGAGCTATTCTTTCTCATGCATGTCATTCGTGTTTGCTTGCATATACCCATACTTAGTACAAGTGTGTATTAATTCTATACAAATATCTACTTTTAGGGATAGGCACAGGTGGACGTTAGATCTTACAATACGACGTTGCAGTTATCCGTACATGGAACTTTCGTCAGGACTTGGTAGGACCTCATGCTTTCCAGGTTGTCTAGTGTTATTATCTAGCTTAGATGTAGGCTTTAACTAGTGGAGCATGTTCCACTAGCTTTCATTCCACTTTTATTTCAGACTCTGTATTGGTGCCGTTTTGGCAAAAATACTTTTAATGCAATTGTGAATTGCTTCTTTCATTTGATTATCTATATATTAGATGGATGAGTTGTGAACGCCTATGATGTTATGTTCAAAATGTTTATCATGAAATAAGAAAATAAAAAGTTCAAATTTTACGCTAAAATTAACCTAGAAGAAGTAAGAATGATGTATGTAGGCTTGTCTGCGACCTCTGAGAGGTCAACAACGTCGGTCTTGTCTGGGGTCTAGATTTCGGTCATGACATTGTGACCTTCCCGATAAAGCACAATAAACATTTGTTCACACTACCCTATGTTGTCTATAAATAAAGGATTTTCGTGCATGTATAATTTTAAGGGTTTTTTTCCACTATTGGGTAGTCAAATTCAAATACATTAATCAAGTTTTTATGAAGTTCGTTTCATTCTTGAAAGTTTTGATGGAGCCTAATCTTTAATATAAGTCATAGTGATTTATGTAGCTATGACAATTTTTTCCCCTAGTTTGGTGTCCTTTTTTTTTACTTTGTTTACGTTTCAGCAAGAATGATTGTAAATTGATCGTATCTTTTGATCTTAACATATAGAAAAATGATTTCAATTGCAATGCAATACGCTTCTGAAATGGTTGGTGGTTCAAATCATTACATTTGTTTCTTTAGTAAACAAATCTTTTATTTCTGCCATTATTATTTGTATGTTTTTTTTTTAATTCAAATATATTAATTAAGCTTCTTATATAGTGTTTTTCATTTCTCAAAATTTTCTTTCTTCTATTTCGTGAACCTAATTTTTTTTTGCAATAAATCATTGTTATTCATGTATCTATTTCAACTTCTTTTTGCATTTTGGTGACTTTTTTAAAATTATGTTCAAAATTCCAATAAGGATGATTGAAAATTTCTCTTCTATTTTTCCCTTTCTACAGGTTTTCTTCCTATACTTTTTGGAAAATTACTGGTGGGTTGTGCTATATTTGATAGAAGTTGTGCTATATTTGATAGCATACAACAACAAATATTTGATAACTAATACGAAAACAATGATGAAGTTTGTTAAAAGAACAAAAATGATTGCTCTCTTGCTTGTCAAAGTTAGTATATTATTTTGATTGTTTTTTCATTTATACAAACTTTTGATATGTTATTTCACTTTTCCTACAATATTTGTAAATAGAAAATTAGTTAACATCTTTTATCGCAAGTTATTAACTAATTTTTCATATTTCTTCTTACTTCTTTTTGGGCGTATAAGAGATCAAGTATTTGTGAAACTAACAAATGTCCAAAATACACTATAAGAAAAATATTTTTTATCGGCAATAAATATGCACTGAAGAGTGCTATAGTATTATCGACATTACTTAATTTCATTAAATTCAATATTGCTATAAACTCTAGAGACATTCATACAAAGTACCAATATCCTCTGAAAACACTTACTTAGCGATAATAAAGCTATTAATTATTGTTAAAGATCAATTTTCTATAGTCATAACTCATTACTTTGATAAAATTTTTAATTTTTCTGAATAAAGAAGTAAAAGCTCTTTCTTTTGACTTCTTTCAATTAAATTTGTAAGCTGTAAATTTGAAAACAACCCGAAAGACTATCTTTTTGAAAAATATACCGAGCAACATGCCTTTTTCTTCTGGATTAGTTTTTGGTATGTGTGAGTTCAAGAGCTCACAAAATTATGTTGTGAGATTTTAATATGTTATATGATAAAAAATTTGTTTACTATATTCATTGTGAACATTCAGATGTCACCTATTGTTTGGTAATAATTGCATTGATTTCTTGTAACTCCGTACTATAATTGTATCAATAACTATGATTTAATCCAAATAAATTGGTGTTGGTGATATTAAACCTTAAAAATAATAATAACTATTTCGAGACAATGAATAAAAAAACATTTACAATGATAACAATTTTTCAGTTAATTTTAGCATGTACTTGATATGATATACAATACTAAAAAAGGGATTGTTGGAGGTTCATAAGAAAGGAGTCCAAGGCCTTCCATTTGAATTTCGTTAATTATGATATTGTATGGACGTGATGTTCCACTTTACTTGGGAGTGTTGTTGTTTAATATTTTCTGGTCTCTTTTTAAAAAACGTTTGATGTTGTTCTTTATAACTTGTTCGTATTTAAAAATTTTCATTATATCTGACCAACTATTTCAAATGAGATTTTCTTGCACTTTTTTTTATACTTGAAATCTATCTATGACTCATAATTTGGGGAAAACAGAATATAGCATACAATAATAAAAAGATATTGATGGAAGTTCATAAGAAAGGAATCCAAGGTCGTCCATTTGAATTTAGTTAATTATGATCTTGTATGGACGTGATATTCCTCTTTACTTGGGATTGTTATTATTCGACATTTTTTGGCCTTTTTTAACGTTTGACGTTCTTTTTATAACTTTTTGGTGTTTGAAATATTTCATTACATCTGACAACCTATTTCCTGGGTGATTTTCTTACACATCTTTTGTATATTTAAAATCTATCTGTGAATCATCCGAATAATGGAATTCAGCATTGGTGACTTCTCCTTGAGGCTTCACATTCGGTGAACTAGGTACCTCTGGCTCTTCGACATTCTTTCTGGCTGGACGACCTCTCACTACTTTTCGTGGAGGTATGATGATCACTGAAACACGCACACACACAAATTAGAAGGAAACTTTTTATAGATAAAACTTTAACGCATGAAAAGGAATATGAAAGAAATGAAGGATTCCTAAATGTCGCAGCTTCCTAATTATAGATGTGGCACGCTTTACACCGATGACTAAGACTCACAAACACGACTTATAGACTCCCTAGAACTTTTGAACCTGAATCTGTTACCAATTTTGTCACATCCCGAGCCTACACCCTGGACGTGGCCAGCAACCAATGACCATTGCTTGTCTTGAGCAAACCCTTGGCCTTACTTACTCAACTTAGCGGAAGACTTAACTTAACTCAATTCTGAAATGAGAACATGCTTAAAAGAAATACTTAGAACATAATTGTATTCCAAAAATGACAATTAAATTCTCATAGCAAAACATCTGCAATTTAAGGAAGAGACTCAAACTGACCACCTAACTGTCTATAATGCCTCTACTAATAGTAAGATGAATGTTCGGACAAACCCCACAATATTCTATAAAGAAAATACGGGGGAAAAGGAGTTAAAGAGTCCTCCAGAATGCAAGGAGGCTCACCACTGACTCTGAATGCTCAAGCTGGATCAAGGAGGCGCTGGATGTTGGTCCTGGTTACCCATGTCTTCATCATAAGACAATGCAGGACAACTAACATCAGTACATTGAATCTACGAGTATGCGAGTTTAAATGCTAAACAAGAACTAGTGAGCTTGAAAACATTAAGAATGAACTTACCTTGGCTCTGCTTAAGAAGTCAGAACTTAATATAAAGCTGTAAAGACGTATGTAATATATATAAAGCTCGTAAAAAGTGTAAACATTGAGTCCATTAAAGGAAAGGCAATTATAAACTCAATTTTTCTTATATATGAAAGTAATATAGTTTCTATAGGAGATTCTCTAACCGACAACCATCACTATGAGCCTAAGTGATGGTATAACGTCTTACATCACGTTGCAAGAGAACCGCCCTATACCTTTCTATCGGTATATAACCTGAACTACTAAGTGGATCCACTATTTTATGCTAAAAAGCACTAAGGGATCATTTAAAAAGTATGATCCTTTATTTGTCCATGCTTGATACATGGTTTATGGAGACTTGAGTTGATATGATCTCACCTCCCCATATCGGTGCTCAATACTATCCCCAAAATACTTAGCTCATATGTTCTTAAAACAACTTCTTTTGTGGTTTAAGACAATTTCTGAAACTTAGCTTTAAAAGCTCTCTTTGAAATCATAGTTCCCATTTTCTAAAACTAGCCAAGACTCTATGGAAGTTGTTGACACCCTATTTTGACCCTTCCTGATAGAAATTAATTGACGAGCTTCCTAATTCTAAACCGATTTAAAATAATTAGATTGTATAAAATTTAAAATGATTTTATGTTTTTTATCTGATCACTTTTGTTTACAATTTTTCGATAATACATAATTTACGTTATTATGTATGTGTTTAGTTTATTTTCCAAATATTTTGAGAATTACGTCAAAAGATTTTAAGTTTTAGTAAGTATTCATTAAAATTATTTTAGTTCAAAATTATGGTTAAAGTTTTGAATCATGAAGTTAAGTTAACTATTTCATTTCGTAAGATTAAGAAGTTCATCAATTAATCTCATTTAAATTCGTCTTTATCAAGATTGGCCGAACTTAATTGATCGTCAACTCTTGACGAGAAATCAACTTTGGGCCTTCTTCCTTAATTCATTAATCAAGCCCGCTCAACTCATTTTTCCAATCTTTAATACCCAAGAAATTCCCAGCCCAACATTAATAAAACCAGCAGCCCTTCCCTTCTTTAAACCCAATTTCCAAGCCCATTCTTAATTCTGTCAACCCGGCCCAAAGTTCTTCTTCAACAGGAAGACCCATAAGAGCTTTATAGCATCAAGACACGTCTCACTCCAAGGACACGAGAATCATCCCAGCCGTCTGTCGCCCTTTCCTCTTCCCGAAAGGGTCCAAATTTCAGAAAAAAGGGTGTTTCCCTTTAACAGTGAACTTTTTCGAATTTGAATCGAGGATGAGCCCTTGAATTCGGGGAATCCATCCTCCCCCCTCCCCCTCAAATATTCTAGACCATAATTTCCCCTATGTATAACATCTTTTTTTCACTGTGAGGGAGGGAGGAAATTTTTGAAAAACAAAAGGGAGTTACTAGATATTGTCGAGTTTGGAGATTTTAGTGGAGAAAATTGTTAAAGGTTTTAGTTTGAAGTTGGATTCTTAGGAAAAGAAAATACTTATAAAGTTTCAGTGAGATAGCCTAAGATAAGTAAAACAGGTTTTCAAAGAAAACGGAGGAAGAACTCTTTAATTTAGGTGTTGAGTTCGATATTTTGCTTAAGTTCTCAACTGCTGCTCGTGTTTAGGTTCTTGTGGTGGTCGTCCCCTGTCCGTTTGTCTCAAAACGCTTTGCGAAAAAAGGTAACATCGAATCACGATTCATACTTTAGCGTATTGGCATGTTTTGACTTCCAAACTAATTAGAAGATTGGGTTGTTTCGACTTGTTGCAGACTTCAAATCAGTAGCATAGCTTTATTTTTGTTCGTATAGTTCCTCAAGCTATTTTTCAGTTCCTTCTCTCTTGTGTCAACTTTAGTTCATTTCAGTTGTTTGTTTGCTGGTGGTTATGAATAAGAGTTGGTATTATTTGTTCTATCGTGTATTTAGTCCGGAATATGACATGAATATGCATGTGGATATTGGGGGCTGGTCATCATCTGTTTGTTGTTCTTATTTTGGACTTTCCTAGCATTGTTGTGCTTAAGTTGAAAGTGTTACATTAGTTTTAATGTTCAATGCATAACGTCATATTCTTCTTTCTTTCACCCCTAGTGTATTGAAGGCAACAATATGTCGAGCTTTTTAAGTGTTGTGCCTTGTATGCATTACATTTTGTTTCGAACTTCCTCATTCGAATGATTGTCGAGTCTGCTTCGAAATATAGGGTTCATTCTCTGTCTTTCATACCATAATGTGTCCTGGTTTCTAGTCTCTCTTTCCAAGTTTGTTGTCTACTGTTCATTCTTTTCGTTCCTTAAGCTGTTGTATTTTATTTTTTCGGAGAATTCGTGTGCCATCTTTTATTGGTGGTCAGGCATTCTCTAGCATAGAGCTTTCTTCTTCATCAAGTGTAGTATAATGAATCATATAGTATTAATAAGCATCTTTATTCAACACAGTTTCCAACTCAAGTTCTCTATTAATAACCATCATTTTGATATGTCTGCGAGTCATCTGCATTTTTGTTTGTTTCCATTATCTATGTTATATATTCCAGTTATTGCCTTATATTTTAAATAGCTTCGATGTCGTACTTAGAGAAATTATTGGAAGCAGAACTATGTTAGTACTAACCGAAGGTTGACCTTGATTTCTTGTTCATTTTTTTTATTATTGTCAGTTTGAAGTGCACGGAGAATGTGTTTACGCATTTAGTACATTCAAAAGATCTATTTTCTTCTCTGTTTTGAGCTTGTCAGGTATTTGACATATGTTTGTAATCGATTTGCTTGCCGGTTTCTGGTTTATGTGTGTTAAGCAGTGATTCTCTTTTGATGAATTTGTTATTTTAGGACTGATTGATCATAGTTAAGCTATGATTTGGAAATAACATTATTTGAGTACTAACTTTTATCGTTATTTTTTATTGTTGCATCTGAAATCAACTCGGGTTCATCGTGAACCCCTACTTCCTTCTGCGTCATTCAAGAGAGCCTTCAAAGCTCAATTCCTTTCGAGTCAAACTCATAAAATTAACGTACAGGTCCCAAGTTGAAAGGATTCAAACAGATTAAGAAGTTGAAGAAATTGGACAAAAGAGTCCAACTTTATTTTTTTTCAGAGCGTTGTATTTTGTTATCGTTGGGCCTAAGCCCTTGTTGTCTTTTCTTTTCCGTATTCATTATTTACAGATTGTCTAATTAGTCTAGGATAGGTACAAAATGAAATGGGTCGAAATACCGGTCTAGATAGACAGAAAGTGGATTTGGACCCAACTCTCTCTCTCTCTCTCTTTTACTTTATCACTTACTTATCTGTAGTTAATTTCTGTTAGTCTTAGGATTAAAAAAATCAAATCCTCCGCAAGACGTTATTTCGTTTTAATAATTCAATGAAATCAATCATGTCTATATATTTTAAAACAATAGGAATTTTGTAAGTTAAAAAGTCTCACTTAGATAATAGTTTAATATCTCTCTTTTTACAAATTCTAAATAATTTTTCAATTCTAACTAAGTTAAATCTTTTAGCCAAACATTTTAGTTTTTGGATAATCGGAGTAACGCGAGTATTTTAGGTCTCATAAAAATCTTCCTAAAATATTAATAAGAGCCCTTGAATCCTGTTTAACGTTTTTGATCAATTTCGTGTTTTGATCTTTTGAAAACAAAGGTTTCTTGATTTTTCTAAAATTAAGTGGCGACTCTCAAAATCAAATCTAAAATCACTAAAAATATTTTTCTTTTAAATAAAACAGAATTCTAGCTTCTTTTCTTTCTCAAAATGTGAAAACATTTATAATTTTAGGGACTACTTAGTTCCCTTGTAGCTTTTGAGAAATAAACTCACACTTTGCTCTTTACTTTACTTGAAACTTAACTTTTAGGGAATACTTAGTTCCTTTATAACTTTTGAGATTAAAACTAATCTCATTACTCTTTGTTCAACTTGTATCATGATCCTTAAAACAATGTTAAAATGTTTTTTTTAAGACTACTGAAAACTTTTTAAAAAACTCACTTTGACTTGTGACCTTACTCTTAACTTTTTTGACTTTGATCATAACTTCCCTTGAATTAAAATATGGATTCAAGGATCGGGATTTCATGTTAAAGGATGATTTCATGATGTTTAGATGTACGTTAAAGTGTTGGAATCAACTATGAACTGTAGGTACATCACTAATGAAGTCGTACGAAAAGATGGGCGAAAATTGGGATCTCCAGGTGACCCTGGCGCTCTGAGAGGCGCAGGGTGCTAGAGCCTGAAGAACAAAGACTGTCCTGAGAGGCTCTTACTGGCGTGACGTGCTAGGCAAGAGAGAGGTTGCCCTGAGGGGCTCTTGAAGGCACGACGCCCCAGGGCTTGTCAGACGGGATTTCCTACTTTTCTTCTCCGACTTTAAATTCTAAACCTTCTAAACTCACATGGATCTCACCCCAGATACTTATGATCACTAATATCCTCAATACCCAATAGTTTAGACTCATAAAACAGCACGGAAACACGAATCAAACAATCAAAGGTATACTAAAACTCAACCAACAAGAATTCAACGGTTTTTCATCAAGAACTTCAATGTTCATCATTCAATTTACTCTAATTGCGCTAAATTAAACATGTTGTGTGCGTGGAAGAACTCAACACAGAAAGAACTCACATACCTTAAAGGTAACACCTCCAACAAAATTCACTCATCGATCTTGGCAAAATCTTAGTCTTTTCTTCTTTCTCCTTCTTCTCTTTTCTCCAAGCCTTAAGCGTATTCAATCTTCTAAAAACTGACCTAAGCTTAATTTTACCTATAAGAAACCCTTAAAACAATTAGAAAATAGTAGAGTGAAAAGACCAGTTAACCCTTACTTAAATCCGGATTGAGTTTTCCTTAATCTAACAACCCCACTTTCGATACACATATCTCGCTCATACGATATCGACATTACACAAACTGGGTGGCGTTGAAAAGATCTCTTCAAGAGATGTCCAATATTTTAAAGAACTAGTGTTAACTCGTCCTGAGCTAGAAGTTATGATCGTTTGAAAATGATCAAAAACTTACTTTTACACTTCAGAAATTTTCCAAATTTCTCCTATTCTTTTAAAGTTAATTTTCTTAGTTTGTTTGTTTAATCCTAGATATTTCGATTTACGAGATGTTATAACTTCTCTCCAACTTCCAAATGTTGGATCACTTTCTCTCCAATTCACGATTCTCTCATGGTTGTGTTGGAGTAATTCTCTCCAATTTCCAATGTTGATGCCCTTCCCACCAACACATTTTCTTTTTTTTTTTTGAAATTTTTTCTCTATGTTGTCTTGAAAAACTTTTCTCCAGCTTCCAAGGTTGATTCCCTTCTCACCTATGTTTTTTTTTTGTTTTGGAGCACTCTCTCTTCAACTCTCGTTGAAGCCCTTATCATCACCACCTTTTATTTTTTTTTTTTTTTAAAAAAAAAGAATTGTCGTGGAGTACTCTCTCTCAAACTCTCGTTGATGCCCTTCCCATCAACTCATTATCTTTTTGTATTTTTTATTTTTGGTTATTTTGTTTTACTTTCTCTAACTTTAAATTTAGAGAAGAGTTTTTTCTTCTTGTGCTTAGTTGCAATTCTTTAAATCTGCAATACTTTTGTAAGTTTCTCCTCCTAACATTTTTTTATGCATATATTATTCGATTATCTTTCGTCAACGTGATCATTGGCCTGTTGGGCAGAATATATAGTTCTTACCCGCCCTCCAGTAGCCGAAACTCTTGATCTTCTATAGGGATCGTAAATGCTCTGATACCAATATGAAGGAAAATATTTTATTTATTAACTCGCATATTTTTTAATCTTACTAATTCTATCTATTTTATGTTATTTGTATCTTTAGTTTTATTCATATTCATAAAGGTAAAAACTAAATTAAACTAGGCCTAGGAACTACTCTAACTAACCAATTCTAATCAAAACATAAATAAGTAAATACCACGAATAACAAATCCTAAACAACTTAAGATTTCTACTATAACTTTGAGTTATTATATATATATATATATATATATATATATATATATATAGTTAGTTAGTTAGTTAGTTAGTTAGTTAGTCAGTTAATCAGTTAGTTAGTATGTTAGTGCCTTCATTTTATAAAATATTTCTTGAGTTTATTATGTTAATTATTATATGGTTAAGGAACAAGTACTCCCTTGACTATTTTAACATCCCGCCTTAGGAAGAACTAAATTCAGAAAGAGCTAACTTGGAAAGAGCTACTTTGAAATCTGTTCAACTTAAGCTTAAGTTGTGAGTTTTAGATATCCTTCAAATGACCATAAACTTTACCACAGGATTATGTAAGTGGCCTATAACATACCAAATGAAAGGTGTTGGAATCTTTTTCCAAGGCCACAGAGTTTGCTAAATTTTTCATCCGGATGAAGGAAATATGATCGTCTAAAGTCAGTATGTCTAGTTAAGAAAAATTACCCGAATTTTATAGGGGTATTTTGGTATTTTCTTTGCACTATCATCTTTAAATGTTTGTAGTAACTAGTTTTCAACATGTGTGCTGGACATGATTACAAATTAGAAAATATGTATTATAGTAATTAGTGTTTTTTATTTAAGCGATGACTTTAATAATAAGCTTTGCACAAAATAATATTGCAGATTCTTATGAGAATGTTCAATGTGGATCATCATATATTTCTCTTATTTATTCAAACCTATGAAGATGTTCTACGGAAAATATTATTAGTTAAATGCTATAATTCATATATTAATTTCATTTTAATGAGGTTCAATCATCTTAGTAATATTACCTCATAGACGATATTGTTTTGTTTATTTTTGTTGTAATCTAACCAGATTTGTTTTGCATGTGAATTACAGGTTAAACTGTTTACATGTCATATGAACATGTTAAGAGCACAACTACATAGTAATTTTTAGAAATAATTTTTGTATATTGATTATTTATTTTATAAGTCATAACAGAATAGATGGTGTTGGTGTTCTTGTTCTTGGCTCTCATATTGACTTATCGATTGACTGTGTACATAACTCAAATATAGTTATCTGATTGTGTATAGTTAACTAAGAAAGGTTCCCTTTTTACCAAAAAAAATAAAAATAAAAATTAAAGAATATATTATATTTGTGAAATCTTATATACAATCATATGTTTATCTTACCCCAACAAAGATATAATTCATATATTGATAAACAATTTTCAATTTATTCAACCAAGAATAATTCGTCCAAGGAAAACTAACAACGTGATATAATAATATTAAAAATCATTAGTCAGAAGTTAATGTATGAAAAGATGAAAGATAGAAATAATCAATAAAATAATTATGATAATTTACAATATGATAGCTAATGAATGTTAATTAAAGAGTGTGAATAACTTTTACAATAATTAGGAATTACTGAGAGAGTTTATAATATGAGAACAAAATTATTTAAGTGAAATACTAGTATTTTGAATGAATTTTATACTTACATAAATAAATATACTTTCAATTAATGTTTCTACATTTTTTATAGTTATCATATTTTAATTTAACGTAGGAACAAAATGAAAATGTTTATTTCATATTACTGAATATAAAATATATTTTGTAAATTTTAAACGAGTCATATATATTCTCATATTTTCACATTCTTTTAAAAAAAAATAACTCACAAGAATTTATAACAATATATTTTAAAGTTAGAAGATCTTGTTAAATTTTATAACGATAATACATTCGTGAAATATATAATACATTAATTTAAAGTATCATGTTATTTCAAGTCATACGTACTTTTATTCGTCTAAAATACTAAAATATTAAGAAATAGTAAATAAGTAAAACAAAAGGGCAATGTTTATATATTATAAACTATTTTGAAGAAAACTTCCTAACGTTCTAAATTACACAAGTACCATTGATAAATAAATTCAATCTTTTATCTTGATTATCAAAAAACAAATTGTGACAATTCTCTAACTCTTGAAAAGTTAAATAAATTTGGAATAAGATATGTAGAAGCATATGTTTACCTAACAAGAGAAATTGTTAAAACAAAATAATTTAGACCACATCATGTTAACTTTACATATTCAAACATTACATACTACTCTATATATTCAGCAAAAAAATATGTCACATTCCGAGCCTACACCCTTGGCTCAACTAGCACTCGAGAACCATTGCTGACCCCAGGCGAACCCTTGTCCTGACTTACTTTCTCAGCGGAAGACTTAAAGCCTTAAGAAAAGGATTCACATGCTAAATAACTCAACTAT